CAAGGAAGGGCATAGAAGAAGCAACAGGGGAACCTAGGCTGGGCTGCTTGGCTCACTGGGAATTCAGAGAAAATGGGGCCTGGAGACAGGTTAGCTCGGGGTGGGAGGGGGGGGGGGAGCTGCAGCTGCCCATTGTTCCCTTGGTTGCAAGTCTTGTGTGATCCCTTGGACTTAGGAGAAGTGTGCCTATGGGGGATGGAGAAGGAGATGGGGGGAAGGGGAATGGCATGGGCATGCTCCCTGGAGAGAGAAGATGCTGGGAACCTTTGTTTTCAGGGGGTTTAAAGGCTGGGCATTAGGGGAGGTCTTGGGGAGGATCAATAGAATATTGATACATAGAGTGGCCAGTGACTATTTGATGAGGAGAAAGGCTATGTTTACCAAAAGGTGCAGATCTCAGGTGAGGAACACTAAAGAGAGAGCTTGTGGCCAAGGGTGATTCAAAGCTTCTAAAATTTACCTAGTTGAGTTTATACAATCCAGAGGACTAGGGTGACAAGCACAGTGAAAATGTTGTAGAATAGGTCAAACATTACAGATGGATTGCACCATTTGCCCAGTGAAATGAGTCCCCGTGTTGTAGCAGGAATGGCTTCATGTGGGGTCAGACTGGATCTGGGTTCAGCAACCTCAGTACTTGAGTTCTAGCTAGGAAAGAATTCAGAGCCAAGACACAAGATATAAGAGAACATTTATTTGGTAAATCACAGAGGTAGAAAAAGTAATTCCTAGAAGAAATGGGCTTAGGAAACAAGTTATAGAGGTAAAGGAAGGGCCCTTGGAGCTTGGGATTGAAGAAGCTAATAGTAATGAACCTGGAAGGGAAAGGGTAAGGAAAGAGAAAGATTCAGGCGTGCTCCTGGCAGGGAGAGCACGCTGGGTCCTTGGTCCTAAGGGTTTTAAGGGTGGAAAGCTTAGGAGAGGTCCCAGGAGAAGATCTCAATAGAATATTCAGCAGCTTTCCAGGTGTGTCCTTTCAGGGTCTTGGTCTCCATGGATTAATTGGTGGGTGCCAGGGCAGGGAGGTCATTATTCAGTGAAGCTGGTCCTGACATCAGCCTTGGTGTTGCTTATCTGGTTTTGCTGCTTTTCTGGGCCTGGAGCTGAAATACAAATGAGGCCTAGATGTTATCTCTAAGAAGGAAAGGCCTGAGGGTCCAAACCACAGGACCAGTGATATGCTAAGGGAGGAACGGTCTCTCAGGGTGAGGTCCCACCCTACAGTTGTCCTTTGCTTGGTGCCAGGGCTTTCCACCCTGATGACCCATCGTCTTTGCTCTGCTCATGTCTATATAACTGCCTATCTTACCTTGGTCGAACCATTAAGACAGTTGCTTTCCTGTAATCCCTTGTGAGAAAACTTATAAATAGTAACTAATATATATATCCTTGAGATGGTGATATTTAGATACAATCCAATTACCATATCTCAAATGAACCTAACAAAAGTGAGACATGATCTTGGGAGCCATGGAGTGATTTTCCAGGGTTATATTTTGGACAGATAGAACATTTGCTATACACTCTGAGCTACAGTAGGAGAAGGTTTCCAGTAATGTTGTTTGCTCCATGAAATCATAAACATATTAGCTCATGTACATGTTGAAGTATAGGTCATTGAGTCCCTATAAGTAAGATTGCTTTTGATTGGGTCCAAAACATATCAGTTTGTCTGGGTCAAAGGGTCCCACTTTCTGTTGCCACATCCTCTTCTCTTCTTCTGTCGCTGTCCATTGGAACTGTGAAAGAGAGTCTTTTATTGACTTCATAGGGAGCAAGGAGTATTCCCAGGTCGGGGTAAATGATTGCTTAAGCAAAAGCTAAATGATTTCCTTTTATTTCCATGGTGGCAGCATTAGAATGTCCTGGAATTTTGATGCTTGCCAATTGTTTCAGTTACTGTAAGTCATCTAATAATTCTGCAACTTGTTTTCCATTCTTTTTGGCAGGGGTGGGAAACCTTTTTTCTGCCAAGGGCCATTAGGATATTTATAACATCATTCGAGGGCCATACAAAATTAACAATTTAAAAGTTAGCCTGCTATATTTGGTCAAACATTTAATTAACTCACCTCTAATGCCTTGGCAGGGTCAGAGCAAATGATATCTTGGGCCTTATATGGCCCACGGGCCAAATGTTCCCCACCCCTGCTTTATGGGCTGCCCTGAAGAGGTTAAGAAGCCTTGCTGCTTCCACAACATTCCAAAGTCATGAGCTACACCCAAAACATAGCTACCATCAGTGTCAATATTGGCTATTTGATCTTTGGCCAATTGACAAGCTCAAGTTAGAGCAATTAATTCCGCTCACTGGGCAGATCTTATGCAAGTAAATAAGAATCTTCAATTATGTCCACCATGAATGTTATTGCATATCCAGCTCGGTAATGTCCCTGTTCATCTTTCAGATAAGTTCCATCTGTAAACCAAATTAAGTCAGCATGATCAATAGGAGTTTCCAATAAATCATTCCTGGGAACAAGAAGGTGATCAGTTAGTAAAACACAATAGTGGATGTCTTCATCCCGCAGAGAAGGTAGAAATGTTGCTGGGTTAAGACTGCTGTATCGAATTAAGGTAATGTTAGGCACAGAAAGCAAGAGTACTTCATAAGAAGCCAGTCCACTGACAGGAATGTGGAGTGTGATGAGTGTTCAGTGCAGATGCAGCAGAATGAGGAATATAAATGAAGGAGAGTCCATAACTATCGCCTCTGTTTGCATAACACGTCAGTAGCAGAGGTAGTCATCATGCAGGGTGGGGACCCCTTGGTTACTGACTATAATATCTTATAGATCCTTTTTAATTTTTATTGAATTTATCGGGGTGACATTGGTTAATAAAATTATATAGGTCTCAGGGCTTCAATTCTATAACACATCATCTGTATATTGTATTCTGTGTTCACCACCCCAAGTCAAGTCTCCTTCCATCATCATTTATACGCCCTCTGTCCTCTTCTACCTCCTCTCACCCCCTTTCCCTCTGGTAATCACCATACTGTTGTCTGTGTCTATAAGGTTTTTGGGTTTTCTTGCTTAATCCCTTCACCTTTTTCATGCAACCCCCCTCTCCTCTGACAGAAGATCTCTGTTTTTGAGTTAAAACTGCCAAAGCATTTCCTTTATTTTCATGTATTAAGAGGTATTATAAATATGGCGTCCCAGAGCAGGATCTTTAAATAATTCTTTCTTTGGAGCTTTTACTTGGGTGGATCAGGTCAATCTGATTTTAATCAGACATATAGAGGTTGAGCTATTAATGAAAAATTTGG